CTCAGCAGTTATCTTTGCAAACCAAAGATTAAGACTGTGGTTTAACACTAGATTCCTGCTTGATCTGCCTTGTGGCAGACTCAATGTGTGTAGTTCATCCCGCAAAAACTATTCAGTTTCTACGTAGCGTTTTCCACCAGATCAGGTAGCTGAAATGACTAATCCTGGGAATACACGATGCCCAGCTCAGTGGAAGGCTCCCTTTTGGGAGCAGCTAGACCCAATTTTGGGAGCTGTTAAATCATTTTAGCGGTAAAGTGAAACTAGACCCCTCAAAACAGCTCTCTCCATGCTGTACTTCACAGAGAGGAACTTCTCAAAGTTATATGAAAACTCATGACTGGGTGATGATATTCAGCTCTAGGAAAAGGGAAAGGTTGTTGAGCACATTAAATATTCATTAATTACAAATATTGTGCTTGTGACAATTCTCATCTATCTTTTAAAGGAGAAAAGTGATTAAAGAACCCTAAGATATCTGAGTAGTTTGCCAGGAAATTTAATTTCTTCACTTCAGTCGAGTTTGGGCTTTGGAAATGCATCTAATTTTTTTTCTCTCTCAAAGTTTAAAATGTCTTTAATATAAAACATTTCAGACTCTGCAGCTGTTTGGTTTTGTTTGGAATTTCAAGTAATTAGGATAAAAATTATTTACCCAAATCCTTTCAGCTCCTTGGTCACAACTACAAATACAGCCTGATCAGAGTTATTCTTGCAACTTGGGTTGCTTAAGTTGTTTAAATAGATTTCTATTTCAGAAACAAAATGTGAGCCAACAGTTTCACAATTAAAGGCTCGAGGGCTATAAAACTTGGCTTCATCGAAGACTCTGAACATTGTTTTTATTATCTTAATCACTAGGTTCTTTACATACTAATTTTCCATTCCTTTGCCAAGCGGTGCCATTCCAACTTGCTTTTCCCTCACCCAGGTGAGTGTTACTCATCTTTTCAGGGGAACGTAAAAATACCCTGAATATAGTCAACACCATCACGTCTGTTTTTGCCACTCTTCATGGACCTGTGCAAGCACTGAGTCATTGCTGCAGAAATCACTAAGTGAGGTGTAATTTCTTTATTTCCTCAGATTTTCCTAAAAAACACAGAGATCTGTTTTTCCAGATGCTGTTTTCATGACACGGGGCTAAACCATGTGGGATCCTGTCTATACTGGGACGCAGAATATTGCAAACCCTGATTAGGCACCATCCCGATTAGGCAAGGGCAGAGATGAGATAAGGTGCCGTGCGTGGTACTAACAGGCCTTAGCAGAGCAAAGAGTAAAGCAGGTCTTCCAGGGACGGCTGCACAGGCTTCGGGTCCCACCTGGGCGATCAAAACAGCAACACCTGCATCGCTTCAGTTCTGCTGTAGCCACGAGACTGCAGGACAACACGCCTGTATGAAGAGAAATAAATAAACGCTGAGTCTAAAGTCTTGTTTTAGAGTCCAGCATTCACAGGCCAAGCAACTGTATTGTAATGAGGTAAAATTCAGGATTTTGTTCTGCACCAGACTAGCCCAACCTGCTGTCATCCATAAATGCATGAAATGCAGGGCTGTTTTGGTGTGGGGCAGTAGGGAGCAAAGACATTTCTCGCATGAGCCTTGAGCAAAATCAGCTTTCCTGCATGTCTGCAGGAGTCTGTAAAGCTAGAAAACACATAGCTCCTGGGCCTGGTCTTTCTACATTCCCTAGTGTAGGCTGGCAATAATACTAGTCACCCAATAGTAACGTAGCTTTACCAGGGTAAAACTATATGAATGAAGTCGTTTGATTGAAATTCATCTCAGACTTAAGCAGCCTCCTGTATTTCAGGCTTTGGTTCAAGGTTTTGGTTCTTCTCAAACCTAATATGATCAAAATATATCCCTTTTTTTTCAACCCTCAAATGGAGCAACCAAGCACAAATATTCCTTGTGCAGCAATGGAAAGCTCATAAATCTCACAGTCAAGAGTTAATACGGGACTGCTCAGAAGGAAGACTGACTAATCCAAATCCATTGCCCAAATTGAGAGAAACAGAAAGAGTAAACAGCATAAAAAGAGGTTTTGATCTCTTCTGACATCACTGCAAGGGAAGAAGTGAGTGAACTGAATCCTGCAGTTTTCAAATGCTGTCAACTAGTATTTTAACTGCCTTTAGTATTCAACTAAGGACAGAAAATCACTGTTCTTTAAGGTCTATCAAATCATCTCTTGTCAAATATAAACTCCACTGGAGCTTTACTCCTCGTAGTTTTATTACAAAGATAATTATAGACCATGTAAATTCGAAAGGCAGCATAATTTTACAGCTGTTAATACCATTCCTTAGCTATGCAAACCAGGAAAATGATGTTTAGGAAATCTCAGTCTTTAAGGCATGAACAATGAGACCTCACACGTGGCAGCAGCAGCAAACACATCCTATGGCCTGTATTAGCTCCTAGCCACCCTAACTGCTATGGGTTTGAGACTCCATCATGAGTGTTTCTTTTTTGTAAGGGGAAAAAGGAGGTTGCAGGTGTTTCTACCTTAGGTTTCATCTCTTAGACAGAGGCAAAGTTGAGTTTGTTTAGGGCTGTGGATACTGCACTGGTGTGACAGGAGCCAATTGGCTCCAGATGGGTAAACTTGGAGGAGCGAGCAAAGGACTTGGTCCCCCTCTGCTTCAGCAGGTTCAGCCCAAAGCCAGTTCGGAAGATGGCTTGGAAAATTAAGGCCCGAAGTCAAGTTTGGCTACCAAAGGCCACCTAAACTAGCCAGCAAGTCTGCTTGTCTGGGTTCCAGTCATACTTGCACACGCTATCTTGCCATCCTCAAGACCTTCTCATGACTTGTTTGAGTGCAGACAAAATTTCTTCTGCTGGCTTCCCCATGCTTATAGCCCTTATCTGATGGGCAGAATTCAGAGTCATCCCGATGCTTTTTTAAGGCGAAAAATAAAAAGCATCAAGGGACACGGACCGTTTCACACAGCTATGAGAAGTTTTAGTTTAATGACAGCAGATGATAGGGGAGGGTGGGAAGCAGCAGCTTCACACACTGAGCGCTGTTTTTTCCCACCAGGAATGAACCAAGCGCCCTCTGCAAGAGATACCCCGGTCTCAGGAGGTCTGGATAATCTGGGAATCCCTGTGTTTCCTACCAAGCAATTCACGCTAGAGCTGAATGCTGGCAAACAGTCAGCTAAATCCATTATCGCACCACGATGCTCAAACATTGCATTAATTCCTAACCAGCTGTCCTCTGCTCCCCTACCCCTTTCAACATGCAAACATTTAGCTGTCTGAGGGAGGGGAGGGGGAGGATCAGACACGGCCTCGTAAAATTCCTTCGCCCGCTCCGCCTGCGGCAAGTTATTTCTTTTGACACCCATGTAAAGTAATATCGGGGGCGTTGTTTGTTTGCCTTGGCTAGATGGCAAAGCTTCATAACAATTTTGCAAGCCAAGTACCTGCAAAATGGAGTGCAGAACGATCTGCAATCTGGTGAATCAACACATCCCATTACGGAGGGAAGACCCTTTGCTTAATTTGCAGGTGCCCTCATGAGAGCCCTCCTGAACTGGGGGCTTGACTCCGGCCCACCGACACAGTCGCCCCTGGACTGCATCCACACATCTACCAGCAAACAGGAAAATTGTCATTTCTCCCCTGCAGAGACTTGAGGATGACTGTACTTATCATGGGTTAACTATTTGGGTAAATAAAAACCTCAGAGGAAGAGCTGAGTCTCCTTCCTTGTGATTCCTCCCCCCTCCACTGTTCCTAAAAATTTGGATTTTTTTTTTTTGAACTAAAACTCCTCTTCTTGGAAAACCGCCCTTCCTGGCTCTCAGCTCAGCTGGTGGCTGACATTAAGTCTCAAGCAAATTCCACGTAAGGAAACGTAATGCAGATATTCCCTGGAGTGGCTTCAAGTCCCAGGGCTAGGCAAGGACTGCGCTGCCCCACAGCAGCAGACAACCAAAGGGCAGTTTGCAAAACCTTCCTCAGGTATTCTCAAGCATCTGTGTTCTTATTGAGGTGTTACCAAACACGTTTTACAAACTGCACCTAGCATCAAAACAGAGGTTTCCAGCTGGTGCTTTCAGTCCTCTTAGGGTCTCGTGCAACTTCCACGAAATCACTAGTCTTTTTTTCTCTTACCACAAGCCATGAATTTTGTTTTTTTACTGCTGTAAGCACTAAGTACGATCTGCTTGCTCTGCATCACAAAATTCAGTGTTTTATTCTACTCTACATACAAAGGTTTTACTGTCAAGAGTAGGTCTTAGCCTGGACAGCTGCTGTCACTTCCATAGCTCTCCTTTACCACCTAAGTAACATCATTATTTTGTTGCTTTTTTGGGGAAAAAAAAAAGCTAGCAATGTGGACCTAAATTTGTGAAGTTCAGTAATATTTGAGAGAAACCTGCCTCAAACACGCGCTGAGAGCGTTCACCTGAGCTCCGCTACTTGTGTGACCTGCACCCTGTGGGGACAGCCACACTTTTTGAAGGCCGTGCTCCGAATTAGCCTAAAAATAACACAGACACGGATCGAAAACTCAAGTTGAACTTCCGTTTGCCCCTTTTGGGGTTTAAAATCGGGGTGTTTTCGTTAGAATCAAAATCCACGCCGCTCTTCAACGGCGCCCGGGGGGTCCGCGCTGAGCGGCGGTGGAGGAAACGTCTGGAAAGCGGCGAGAGGTGGCGGGGGGGAGGGGAGGCCGCGGCGGGACGTCCGGGACGGCAGGTGGCGGCCTGAAGGGCGGGCCGGGATCGGGATCGGGACCGGGACCGGGACCGGGAACGGGAGAGCCGCCTCAGGTGGGCGCCCC